CTACACTAGGAGGCTTGCCCCAAATATAAATAAAAACTTATGAGAACCTCCACTCTCCATTGGATTCTATGTTCTCCTCCTTTTAAAGAACTCATTTTTAAACACGGGATGTATACAATAAGGTCATTAACCTTTGATATAAGAAAATTACAATTACTTATACCATCTAATGTAAAATTAGGTGTGCCACAAAGTTCGAAAAAACTTCTTTTAAAGTTTGAGCTTAGTCAATGGAATAAATACAGCTACCCAATTTTATAACCATGGTCAAAATTAGTTGCGACTATCTTGTACCAAACATAAATAGTATCATTATATATTTTTCCTTTAAAAGAAAACTTCCCTCTATCCCTTCCTATACTTTCTGAGCATTGCCCTGCTGAAGTCGCAATAGACCATAAATTCATCAAAGAAGGACAAAAGCAAGAAGGCCGTGTCTCTATTTCTTGCTCAACAGTCAGTAATGAAACTTCATTAAATGATTCCATATTAGAGGAAACAATAAGCAAATAGCACCGGGAGCAAGAAACGAAAATAATTCCATAGGACAATTCACACTTAGATTCGCTTTGAAGTTTTACTCAAGAGTTTCACCATTGAAGTTCTTCTTGAGCTCTCAAATTAGAGAGAGAAAGAAGAAGACAGAGAGAGAGAGAGAGTGGAGGACACCATTTTCGACGAAAAAAAGGGATAGAGATCAAAGGGAGAGAGATGGAAGTGTTTATTTATTTCTTTTTTACTTGTTTGTTGAGGAGGGGTTAACAAGGAGAAAAAGAGTGAGAGGACATTTCTAATGGGGGTCTCATGTGGACGATTATTTCGATGGGGGATAGTGTAAAATTTTCCTGTATCTTTTAGATGGAGAGATTATATAATTTTTTAAAGTTCATATAAGATTGACATCTTAAATGATAAAATCAGGATGAACCCCAAAACTCCAATAGAAAAGGCTTTTTTTTTTTTTTATATACTGGAAAACCATCTAACGGCATGGAAATGTATGGATATGAAAAAAAAAAAAAAAAAATTCAAGTCCCAAAAATAGTACAACTTGCATCTAATTATCTAGACCGTCCATTTTCAAGATTTTCATGGGTTTATAGATTTGCTTGATTTGCACTATTTTTGGAGTTCAAAATTTTATATTTAGAGATAAAAATAGATTCTCGGGCCATCCTAAAAATTATCTATACCAAAATTGTATTTTATGACAAAATTTGGAGGTATACATTACCTTAATTGTTTAAGGTTGCAACCTTATGCAAACCTCACCTTTTTTGCATTCACATATTTATTTGATATTAATTAACTCAAGACATATTTAGATGAAATCCTTTCAATTTGAAACTTAGAGAGAACCAAGCCCCATCAAATACAATTGAAACACTAAATTGGCATTAGTGTGGATTAATTTTATGGTATCCATACACGATAAGATTCACATATGTGAGCTATTTGTTGAGGTTGAATTCGACCTTATCTTCCTCATAAGTGCAACTTCATCATTGTGAAACACATACGGGAAAGTCATTTGTTTGTGGAGTATCCACTTGCTTTTAAAGCCGTTGCACTTTGTGTTGTTGTAATCTGTTGATTGATTAATAAAAAGTTTCAAATATTGTCAAAAAAAAAGAAAAAAAAAAAAAAAGCATCACACTTGTCATGAGCTCGAATACACTCCTCTTCATGATCTTAGTGACAATGATTGTTATCAGGTTATTTTTGGCAAGGGTTTTTATAGGGATATTATCGAGTGAGCCCTTTTTATTATAAAAATATTGAGAATTTATTGAGAATTTAAAATATATAAAAATAAATTTTTTTATTAATGAGTAACTAAAACATACATGTTATTTGGGACTGTGAAGCTTTATTTGTCAATAAAATGTGTAAATTCTTGAGAATTTAGATGTATAAAGCAGCAATAGGAAGATGGAAGAGTGGGAGATCAACAAACCATAAAGAATGAGACCTCAAAAGAAATTTTTCCATAAAAAAAATCCCTTATTTCTAGATGGTTGGACTTCCATATATTCATGTTACTAGTTAGAAAAGGGAATTTCTTTTCAAAAAGTATTTTTCTTTATCTCAATTTTTCTTTTTCTTTTTCTCTTTCTCAATACATGCTTAGCGGTTGCTATAAAAGATTGAAAAGATTTCCGAGTCATTATTCCTGTGCATGCTTACTTTTTCAAAGAAATCCTCTTGAAATGGGAACTTACAATAAAATAGTTTTCTATTGAACAAGTAGGCTTAAAAAAGCCGACAAATCCTAATCGTCCAAGAGAACAAATGATCAAAGAACCGTCTGCTGACAGTAATGGATGGGATTAGGCAACAACAGACTCAGTAATGGTCGGGATTAGGCAACAACAGACTTGGACCTAGAGGAGCAGACCATATTAGAGTCTCAGGTTTTTCTGAAGAGACTCTCACTATCTATTAATCAATAAGAATATGCAAACTTATCTTATATAGACAAATACATATGACAAGAATAAAAATAAATCTCAGACCTATAAAATACAAGATATTGTACCTACACTTCTTATACACATTGATTAAGATATACACCTTCTATATTAACCCAGTAGACTATATACACTACTATAAAAATAACAACTGAATTAAAAATGAAATTATATCACCTCACTTTGGTCCGGAACAAATTTCAACTCATACAACTACTTTGAAACTGTCTTTCGAACTTATATTATTTTGGTATAACCCTAAGAATTTTTAACAGAAAATTTGGTGAATATAGGAGGCACAAATGATCGACACCCTAATGTCTTAACGCATACAGTTTCGACAAGACTTTGAAAGGATGAAAGCAAAAAAATTTGGCACTACAGGGTAGCTTTATAAATTGTAGACAAGTACTGAACATATAAAAAGTCATTAAAACAACCATAAAATCTTTCTTAGGGTCAACCACAATATTTTGTGAAACATCCAGCAGTTAACTAAAAAAACTTAAAACAGATAAATCTAAAAGCTAAACATGCTAAAAATTATAAAATTATAGAGAAAACTAAAAGAAAATAAACATTTTATAGAAGGCATAATAAAAATTCAAAAAATACGAGCATAGTAAAAATGCCTTTAATACTTCACATTTTAGGGATTAGGATGACCCACGTGCTCTCCATCACCATCCATCCTTTTATTTGGTAGTGTGGCATATACGTATCTCTTTCTCCAATATGTCTATCTATTTTTTTAAAAAATTGTGCGTGCCAAACCTTGTAGCTCCTTCTTATTAGCATGTACACCTTATTTCTAAAATTTGTAAATATATTTATCTCCTTGAAAGGGACTTCTCTTCATTCTTTTCTAAAATTTATAAATATCCTTACCTCGAAAGAGACTCTTTCCTTCATTCATTCTTTTAAAAAACTCAGAATAATAGTTATTTTTAATTTCCATTCTCTCACGCGTACTATCTCTCTTTTCCCCCTAAAAATAGAAACCTATTTTTTCCCTTTATTTTCTCTCTATCTCTCTCATAATCTCTCTCTCCCCAAAATATACAAACCTATTCTTCCCCTTGATTTTCTCTTTACCTTTCTCAAAATTTCTTCTCTACGTGTTCTTTCTCACATCTCTCTTAAAAGATAGGGATTAGGCACCCTATGTTTATTTAAAAAAAAAAAACATTTAAAAGATGTCCTATATGTACTAGAGAATTATGGTCTTTCTTATTTTCACGACATCCCTTAATTCTGACTTAATAATATAGTATATATAAACTATGCTTAATAATGTAGCATAGTGTAGATAAACCAAAAAAGTGGATGTTGGTTAGTACACAATTTTGGACATATAAATGATCAAATAATGGCTGTCGAAACCCTACCACCATACCTCATCCTATAAATTCCCCATTCAGATTCAGTTCAAGAAGACCAGATAGATGTCCTTGTCCCCTGGTTTGGAGTTATGATCCTCTGCTATGAATGTTATACTCAATCAATCACGTATAACTGGCTCTAGCTTAGATCGACTTTCCCCGTTTCAAAACGGAAATTTATATAATAAGACCATTTATTTTTGGTAGAATTAAAAATATTATCGATGGTTAGATTTGAAATCAGGTGGCTAAGGGGTGTCATTAACTTTTTACAAAATCCAAAACAAATTTTTTAGAACTACGTGACACACTTGAAGCTGACGAGTTTAACCTTTGATGGCTGAAGATGATCGTGATCTCCTTATACCAAAAGTATATAGTCCTATAGCAAACAATGCCTTCCTAAATACTTCCAAACGGTCTCCTTTAGGCACATACTCTTACCTTGGGGATGCCCCATTAATCTCATATATCAAATATTTACTCTGATTTCGCCATCTACCACTTGAGGTTTCCTACCAAGAATCATGGAGAGGCATACCTCATTTTCTTTCTCCTCTAATTAAAATTTTAAACTTTATTGCTCTATTTAATTTCTGAAATACTTAATTTACATTCTTTTAAAACCGAGATTTAAATCTCAACCTTGTATTATTTCGAGTCCGAAGTATATTTGGTGACAACCTTGACAGTATGCAAATAGGAAAAAATTCATTCATACTTTTGGCTGAACCTCCTTTCATTGAGTCCATACAAAGCCTTATTTTAAAAAATTTACATATTTATAGAACTTCAAACCCTCTCCCAACAGGCAGGGTCAGATTTGCTTATTGAAAAAATAAATTTGAAACTCATGTAATCGCCAAATATTACTTGCAGTTAGATGCCACGAGGGGTTTACTTGGAGTATCTCTCCGAATTCTGCTTCTTAATTGATATTCATAATTTAGATTGTTTTGAAATGGGGTTACCATATCATTAAAGAGCTTTGTTTTATTTCTAATAAACATATCAATTTTGGTTTTGAATGGTGAGAGGAAAGGCAAAAGAATAAAAAATATATATATCATCGACGAATTTCACACATTATCAGCCACTCAAATTCCTCAAAATCAGTACCATCAAGCACCTTGAACCATTTCTCCTCTGAGGCCGTAATGGATCTTCCCTTTAATAATGTACAATCCCTGTTATCTCAAACTACATATTTACAATCTCAAATCCTTCGCACAAAAAGAATGAAAAAGAAAAATCAAAAGAATAGCAAACAATGGAAGCAAAATGGCTTCCTCAGAATTCATCTTCATCAGATCCACTAGAAGATGATGTCCTAGAGTTATCGGACAAGAAATGTGCAGGAAGATTGGGAAACTTAGCAATTGCCCTCCTTGGGGTCATATGTGTCGGCGATGACCCGGCACTGGACTCTGGCGTCCTTTGCTTCTGCTGCAAATTCCTTGCGATATCAATGCATACTTGATCTACCATGCTCAAGAAATCCTTCACAATAACAAACAGATGCAGTGGTCCCTCCTTAGCAGAGGCCCCTGCCTGATAATACTCTGTCGTTCTCTTCACCAATTCCATCACTCTCTTTTGCTCCTCTGCCACCACCTTCAGCTCCTCGGCCGCTTGCTCGAGAAATCCTTTCATTGAGACCTCGAAACCATCACCACCACATTTGCCGACCACCACTGCCTTCACCTTTCCTACCTTTGCTGAAAGGAGCTCGCAACCAAAGTTGAGTAAGTCAGGGTCCAACCCAGCAGCCTTCTTCACATTTGAGAATTCCACGCTGATGCCACCGACCACTGGTAGGCCGAGCCTCAGGTACTCCACCTCTCTGTCGTCCTTCTCCATGGAGGAGCTTGATGGTGGTGCCCGTCGGTGGAAGCTATTGTCGCGGTTTAGCACGCAACGCTTGCCCTCGGCACGGACCACTTCCTGCACCACAAAGAGGAGCAGTGTGGTCTTCCCATCAGTGCTCTTCACATCAGACAGCTTACACAACGCAGCGAGGTTGAAGGCCTGAGCATTTCCCCGTGCAGTGCCAGCGTTCAGACGATTTCCAGCTTTCAGCACCGCCTCCAACAGCTTTAGGAACAAACCCCGATTGCGAAGCTCTTTGCAACCAGATTCCAAAGTTTGCAAAGTTTCCTTTATGCTGAGGATCTCCGCGTCATAGGACGACTTAAAGAGCAAGGCGTCAATACGATGGAAGGCTGAGGGGATGGTGGAGAGTAGGCCAACAAGGAAAGACGCCGTGTCTGCAAGTCTGGACCTGTCACCCTCAAACTGAGTGAGGGAGGCGATTTCTTCCTGTGTGAGAGCAATTCGAGAGAGCTTCTCAAGGGTGTCAGTGGAGAGGCCGCAGCCGGTGAGTAGAGCATCAGAGATCTCGGCACGGGTAGCATCAAGGGATCGGAGGACGATGGCAACATTTTGTGATTTCCGGGGGTCAAGAATGGAGATGGTGGCTGGGGCTGAGGATTCATCGGCCCCCACGGCAGAGGAAGAGCTCTGGTTCTTGCCAGCTGGCGTCCTCCGATTGGTGGCCACATATCCGAAAAGAGCTTCCATCAACTCATCATCAAAGCTGTTTGAAGAGTGAGAGATCATCAGTTTCAGTACAAGCATGTCGAATCTGGTTTTGGTAAAAACTATAGTATAACATTTGGGAACGAATTCCTCAGGATTTCAGGAAAATTATGGTATCCAAGACATCAATGTCCATGAATTGATGAATAGTGGGACCACCAATACAAAACAAAACCTTTTTTTTTGTTTTTGGTAGTTTAGCCTGGAATCGAACTTGAGATATAGTGCTGTCAGTTGTTAACTATTCAAGCCCAAGCCGGATTTTGACCAAAATAAAACTTGTTTTTAAGGGATTGTCTACAAAGAGACTATTTATCTTTTGTAGTCACAATCATTCTTGTTTCTTAAATTTCAAAATGGGTGGTTGTAAGAGTGTCATTAAAAACAATATTCCAAAAAAAAAAAAAAAAATCTCAGGCTTTGTGACTCACCCAAGCCCTCCAATTTGATATTTAATGAATGGTAATGATTGTGACCTCCATGTACCAAAGATGAATAATATCTTTGTAGACAATCCCTGTTTCTAATGCTATGTGTGATTTTTTTTTTTTTTCAAGATCTATATCACAACCCTGTGACAAAGGTAATGGACCAACACTATGAAGTTTTTTTTTTTCCAAATCTTTATCACAACCGTGACAAAGGCAATGGGCCTACACTTTCAAAAAAAAAGAGAAAAAAGCCCTGGAACTAAGGACTTCTGTTTTGACTGTAGTCTACACCCCCTAGTCATGTACATATCGCCCTTCAAGAATTTCTAATCGGTCCCAACTTTATTATTTTCAATGGAAATTCAATTTTCCTGCAGCTTCATTAATTCCACGTGCTTGCGGATGGCTACTATTGAGAAACAGCAAGAGAAGGAGTCCTAAGTTGGAAATTGTGAATTCCTCATATTTGTTTTCGTGAAAACTTTGTGCTAGGGCCTGGGAAAGTTTGTTACCCAAGAGTGCTTTTCCACCACCAGGGAAAGGCTATTCACATTTAAGTGGGGATGACAATGGATATGACTAGACCTGGAGTTGACGGGTCGTTTTTTGGGTATGGTCCAAATTTTGGACCTAAATACTATTAGGATCCGGTAGGATTGGACCTATACCTCTACAGCTGTACCCATAGTCATAGCGTATATGATGATAAATAAATAAAAGAAAAAAAAAAGCAAAAGCATAAACATAAGGTGACAAATATTTGGGTCTGGGTGTAGATAGACCCGATCCATTGCTACCCCTAAATTCAAATAGGTGGAATGCCTCTTTTTTCAAATTTTAATGTCCAAGGAAAAAGTTGGAAACATGTTTTCCCAATAGCTACACTAACTACCACTTTTAAAAAAAAAAAAAAAACATGGGAAAGTGGGAGTCCAATAGGGAAGAAACATTTAGAAAGCTCTTCTCGACAAAGCAAATGTGGATGTGCGGAAATGTTCGTTGTGGTTGCAAAAAGCATGTCGCTAATTTACCTCATTCAAATATGAAAAACATTTATATAAGGTTGTAATTTTATATTATAGAAGTAAGGTCAATCTCAAAATTCTAGCAAAAAAGAAGGCTTCCCTGGGAAACATTTAAATTGATTATATTGACCTCAAGATAAATGGTTACAAAAGACGATATTTTTTTTTTTTTTAAATATTAAAAATATTGTACTTTACATCAAGTTAACTGGACAGTTTGTTTACAAGATTTTCAATTTCTTAGATTTCCTCAATTTACACCAATTTTAGAAACTTAAATTCATTTTATATAAAGTGGAACATGGATTTTCAAGCTATGATGTTTGATTACTCACGCGAGCCAGTTCGGACTCTCCTAAGCAACTCAGACACTCAACCTGGCTAGAGCCAGTTCGGACTCTCCTAAGTAACTCAGACTCTCAACCTAGCCAGCCCGAGTATCTTCGAGTTGGATGTTCAACACAGGAATCTCAAACAAAATTAAATTTTTTTTTAATAATAATAATAATAAAAAAAAAGCTTGTTAAATCGATTGAAGAAAAAACTTTCTCAAATTCCAAAAGAAAAATCCCGGATAAGTAGAAAAAAGAATAAGATTAAGACACAATTGTAAAATATAAAATAAATAAAACTATTTTCAATTTAAAAAATGAAAAAGATTTTCCTATTAATTTCGCAAAAAAAAAAAAGAAAAGAAAACAGAAAAATTGAAGAGAGAAGTCGGGGAGAAAGTGACTACCGGAAAGAACCACCACCGATCTTATCCCAAACCATGGAATGCTCAGTGTTGGCCGTCGTCAGCTTATCCCAATGCAGCGGCTTCAACTTTGCCTGCCCATCCCCACCACCTCCACTCTCTGCCCTTCCCTCAACCCCTTTTCCAGCCACAGGCGGGGCTGGTGGCCTCCCAACAGCGCCGGCACTCCTTGCCGCAGGACGCGGCGGTGGAGGACCCCTCCCTGGTGGTGGTGGCAATGGTGGCGTCCCCACTTTTGGCAATGGCGGAGGAGGTGGCGCAGCAGCCTTGGGCTTGGGTGGTGGAGGAGGAGGAGGAGCTTTAGGTGGAGGTGGAGGAGCTGTAGGTGGAGGTGGAGGAGGTGGTGATGCTGAGGTGGTAGGCTTAGCCACAGGAGGTGGCGGAGTTGAATTGGCAGGTCTAGAAGGAGGCCGTGTTGACGTGGCAGCTGCAATAACGGCGGCAGCTGCGGCTGCGGCTGCGCCACCTCTGCCTTCTCCAACTTCTGGCAAAGAAGAAGAAGAGGAGGTTTGATGCATAGGGATCAGAGGAATCCTCTGAATCTCTCCAACACCAGGCCTCACAACGTCACCTCCACTCAGTAAGGCCCTCTCGTCATGCTCCTCTCCCTCTTCAAGCTTTTTCCAATAGAGAACATCGAGCCCATTTTCATCTACTATAAGCCCTTTTACGGTTCCTTCTACCCTTTTAAAAGCTTCAGCGCCAGGCATACCAGCCCCCGGTGGTGCAGCCGGTGGAGGAGCGGTGCTGGCCACATTTTTCCGGCGCCTCGCCACCACTTGCCGGCCAAAACAGAAGACAATCCCTGCGAAACACAGGGTTCCAGCTGCCGTCGCAAAAACAGCCGTGACAACCGCCCCAGTTTCGCGGGAATCTCTCCCCTGCGGTGGCTGAAAAGGGGTCAAAGTTTCCGGAGAAGCTGGTGAAGGCCGTGGAGGTGGAGGCGGAGGCGAAGGCGGAGGAGGAGAGGGAGGGGCGGGGCCGTCAACGGCGGGAGTAGAACCAGAGGGGAAGACGGTCTCGAGGTTTTGCGCGGCGGAAGAGGAGGGGTGGGGAGTGGAGGAGATGAGGAGGAGAAAGAGGAGACAGATTGGAGCCATGAGAGAGACAAGAAAATTGGGGAGAGATGAGTTGTTGCAGATAAATTAGGGTTAGGGTTTGGAGGCCGGGATTGATTATCGGTTTTGGTAGGCGTTTGACTGAGCAAGAAGGTGATTCAGGGGCCATGAATGAGGAAAAGAGAGAGAGATGCGTCTGAAGCTTTCAAAGGGTGGTTCGTTACGCGGTCCCTTTTCTTATTTTGGCTCCCTAATCTTCCTATCAATCTGATTCTCTCAATGCCTTTGTTACAGCCCTTTATTCCCCCTACAATATCCAAAATGCCCTCAAAGGACACCTCTCACCTTTTTGGAAATTTTTTGGTACATTTGCTCCGTGTCAAAATATTTTATAAAATATATTTTTACGTAGAAAAATTCTCTCTCATGCGTTTACAAAGATGCATTTGACCCCCAATTAGTGTGAAAATGTTCTCGCAGGATGGATTTTTTCACATGAAAATATTTTTCAAAACATATTTTTGTTGATAAGTGTGCATGGCCATGGGCCTCTAAAGTGCAATTTCTCTCCCTTAAAAGCCTCTCTATTTTAAAGATAAGCATTAAATTATAAGAGAGAGAAAGTATCGTTATTTAACGGTTGGAAAGTAACCACCCACTTCACAGGATTACAGGGCCACTTTTTTTAAGAGGAAGCCAAACATTGGAGAACGGCCTCCTCCATCCCTCTTTAAAAAAGTTTTCATGGCAATAGAGAGGTATACAAAAATTTACAGAGTTCTTATAGTCCTGGTAAAAGCTTGATTTTTACAATCAATAGTCTCACGACACTGCTCCTAATCCTGGGAGTGGGTTCATATTTTCTTTCAAGAGTTCAACAATCTTTATATGAAACAGATATGCCCAAGAAAGTAAGATAAAGATATGGACCCAAAGAATGGACAATTTTGCGTTTTCTTGGACATACGATTCCGATTTGACTTCTCAATTTTTAAAACACTTGCTCTTAAGTATGAGCTGATTCCATCAACTCTATATCTTTCTACCAAGGATACGGTTTGTATAGAGCCGAGGCTCTAAACAATCAAAGTAAAACACCCCTTCAAATAGTGTCAAGAAATGTGATTTTAATACTTGAAATCTTTGTGATAGCCTTAAAATACATTTTCATCTTTAATTATAAAATTTAAAGCTTAAAAAATAGTGTAGATCGAGCAGATTTATGAAAACGTGAAAATTTTGAAATTTTACAGTAGAAAAATGCATTTCAAAATGGATTTTTTCAAACCATGAAATCCATTTTTTTTCTCATGTCCACGCATTTTAATGGAATCAAAACAAGCTCTTCTAGTGAAATTTTTTAAGTAGGCTCTAATTTGATTGTTTAGCGCCTCGGTTCTATATAAACTTTTTCTTTCTATCAGTAGGGTCAACATTTTTGTGATTATAAAATGAATTACGTCAATATGATAAAAAAATTTGACAAATTTTCACCAAGCAACTCCATTTCGGAAAATATATTGTCCCACTACATTTCAAGGTATGGGTACATAAGATATAAGTAATAAGAGCAGAGGATATTTTAGGGCAATTTTGTTTTTACGTATCGCGTAGCTAGCCCGACGTCGTTTACTCCGTCGTCTTGGCTGGCGTCGGCCCTCGTCTCACTGTGCGGCCGACCTCCAATTTCCGCCTCGTGTTATTGGTGAATGAATGAATAGAATAAAGATTAAAGAATGGAAATATCAAGGTTGGTAAGGCTTTGAGAGGGAGGTTCCAATGTCGCTTTTGAGAATAGACAATATTTGGCCAAGCCGTCAGGCTGGCAACGGGCCGGGCGGTTTGACCCTAAAAAACTATAGATCCAGGTTGGCCCGAGAGCAGGGGTGCGGCCAGTCCTCAGCTCAGCTTAACTTTTTTTTTTCTTTTTTTTAGTGATTTATTTTTTTTTATTTTATTTTTTTAAATACGAAATGTTTTGTTTATGGGCGAACATTATAAAGAAATTCAGTCAACCCGCTTTCTTTCTTTTTTTTTTCTTTTTAAAATTACCTTTTAGTATGAGGATGAAATCCTCGATCCAAACTTTAATTTCCTTTTCCTTTTTTTTCGTTACCAAGGTAGTGCCTCAAACTGTATGGTAGTGCTCTACTAGCGAAAAACTAAAAAGATAAAAATAAAATTTGGTTCGAGGATGTCTACGGATAAAGGGGCAAGTTTGGAAAAAAAGTTGGTTGATTGCCTTTTTTTTGTAATTTCTACCTATAAATGAAACATTTTATATTTTAAGATTTTTTTTTAAGGTCTATACGTAAATTACTCTATATTTTTTGGTCTTGTCCAGCCTAACAAGGGCCGTTATGTGCTTAAGCTGGCCGGGCCTAGGCCAAGCCCATTACCAACCTTACGAGCCGTATGTACTTGTTCTGATCGAAGATTGAAAAAGGTTAAATGATAAGGAAAGGATGATTAGGTCTCCAAAATGAGAGAAATTAATAAAAATATAGACAAGCAGTTGTGAGAGTTGAGAGGTTTTAAAAGGTCAAAGTCCACGGATATAACTTTGTCTCTTAAAATGAACTCGAACAACTCCATCTTCAACTTGTCCATTTCAAGCAACATACACTCCAACAACTCCATCCTTTCTCTTGCTTATTCCGTGCAATGCACATAAGCGTGAGGCCGGAAAGAATCAAATTAAGGCGCACCTCAAATATTTATTAGAAAAGATTGTTTCGATGCTCAAAAATTTTCCAAATCGATCATCTCCACAGTGTGAATATGAGAAAAGACATATTTCAACCCTTGAAAATAATGCATCTTATAATGTATTTCTAGACTGTCAATTTTCAAGTGTTCACATATTTGCTCGATTTGCATTATTTTTTAAGCTTTAAATTTTATAATTAGAGATGAAATTAAATTTTTAAGCCATTACAGAGATTTTTAGGAGTGAAACAACATCTTTTGATATTATTTAACGATGCACATTACTTTGATTGTTTAGGGCCACAGTCTTATACAAACCACACCCTTTATGTAAAGAGGAATGATTTTGAATAAGAGAGAAATCAGGGTTGAATAAATTAAAAATAGAACAATTAGGAAGAGGCGCCAGGTATAGAAATTTGCATAGATTAATGAAATAAACACCAGAATACAAAAGTTTACTAACTTTCTCACAAGTTACAAAACATAATTTTTTCTATGCACACACCAAAAAAAAAAAAAAAAACATATTTAATCTTATATATTATTTATTATTATTTTCTCTCTCTTTTATAAGACCCTCAATAAAAGGTACCAATCCATCTAGAAAGTAGATAAGCTAAAACCCATGAAATACTCATAGAATATTATCTCCTAATCCCCATAGAAGGTACCTATCCATCACACATGATTTCTATAGAAATATGTAACCATTGTAGCATTCTCCTACATCATATTTTCATTTTGATCAATTTCACTTTAAAAATATGTTGGCCATCAAATACAAGTTAACACATAATCTCAGGCCCCAAATATTTTTTTTTGTTCTATGTAAGCTTTCCCTTTTGAATGAAAGTCAACATATTTGGTGGATTTTTTTCTATAAGAATTTTGTAGTAAAATCTTCTATCCCATCACGAATAAAGTGATCAATAAGTTTAGTCCTACCATGCAAACCTGGATTCCTTGTTAGAAACTAAAGAATTTTGATATGAGGCTTTGTAAATAACTTGTCAAGCTAAAATGCATATTTGGATACTTCAGCAAGTGACATAGGTTAGCATCTATGGGAAATGAGCCCATCAAAGAATGAAACTTCAACAATCATTTAACTACACCATCTGCAAAGGAAAAAGTGTACTAAGATGTAGACCTTAGATCTGAGTACATGCAAAATCTCTAGCAACATATACAACTACTTCAAATTACTTCCTATTGAAATAAATATCTCTATGAACATATACAACTACTTCCAATTATATCCTTTTGTAATAAATATCTGTATCATGAGTTCTTTAGGAATTATGTAGGATCCACTCCATTGTAGTCTAGTGATCACAGTTAAGATTTGCCATGGATCTACTTACAATTTCTAGTACTTGTGTAAATTTATGTATGCTGCTAATTGTAACAATCATAAAACTCCGAACTGCGGATAAATTGGGTACTAAAAAAACCTGCATCTTCTCTACTATAATATTAAGAGATTAAATGGAAAAAGACTTACTATACACAAGAAAGGGGGTACCAGGTGGTTTAGCATTTTGCATATTAAAGCGCCACAAACCTTTATCCACACAATTGTTTTGAGTTGAATAGATTTTATTATTGTTACTTCCGCTTAACACTCATCCTATGAATTCGATTATGGTTCCAAATTCCTTATGTTTAAATTATCCAGCCAGATGAGCTTTAAATAGTACAATATTGTTTGTATTTGGGTATGCGATAATTATGTCATCGACATATGCTAACAAGATAGTAAATCTTCTATAACTATAACTGCAAGTTCAACTTGATGGAATCAAATCAATTATATGAACACCTCAGTGTCTGCTTCAGCCTAGACAATAATATCTCTATCCTATGAACCAAATTACCTTACATTCCCCAACATGACCCTATAGTTGGGTTCTAAAAGTTACCTCCCCAACGAAACCTTGTGCTAAAAAATAGTTTCCACAGTTAATTATTCTAATTCTAAATAAAAAACAACAACTATAGTCAAAACAACTCGATTAGTTCTCTTACAGACAAATTTTCACCAAATTCAATGCCTAACTTTTCAATATAGCCTTTCGTAATCAATCAACTTTTGAATTTTTCAACAATCTCATCAAGACATTGCTTGTAACTAACGACCTAACCCAACAAATTATGATTTGGCCTTTTAGAAATTCGACGAGGTCTGCTTTATTTTTTTACAGGGTCTTTTCCTTCTCCATGGATACTCTCCATTAATTAGTTCCATCGACCTCACATGACACATAGCAAGAAATTGACGTACTTTCTTTTTTAGGCAAGCATGAGATATCACATGGTTATTGAACTTCATAAGAGCCCTTTTAGGTATTTTCAATCATCTCAATTTAACAACACCAAGACAATCTTCTAACTCTTATTCAATTTCAAGTTCTTATGAGTGTATTCTAAAGAAGTTTAGAGAGAGAAAGGAACTTTTGAAAAGACAATTGTGCCCCATACATTGGTGGGTGTTTCATCATATTAGTTATACTTGGTAAAGGAATATAA